AGTAATTATACGGAATGACTTACTTTCAAGCTCACCCAAAGTTCCAAACACACCGGCTATCCTAAGTCTCGGGTCTATTTTTCAACATACAGCTTTTATTAAATCACCTAAAATGCATTACTACGTATTTCATATTCATTACCCCTACAATTCAACGCTACTAAAAGTCTAAAACGATTGTAAATAGATACTCCCTATATATTATTACGGTATTACCTATATACCGTGACACAACAAATGGGCAAATGGCTTACATATATAGGACCATCCGACCATATCTAAAGTATGCAAGAGACTGACCCTTCTATGGCGGAATAAACTGTTCATTTTGGCGGCTTCTTTATTGACCTTGTCCTATTATTTGACCTCTTCTTACAAAATTGTTCCACAATAATTGTTGGGGACTACTTTTGTTGGCCATGGAGTAGTTTAGTCATGACGATATTGATGAGCTTATTTATTAACGATATGGTTTTCTTGTCTCTCTTCTTTTTGAAAGATTCTCAGGCATGTTGCATTAAGTTATTCTATGACAAAGTTACACAACCATTAATGGAGTATATAACCTTAAATCTACATAGGATTCTATGCAGTATTTTTGTCACCGCCATTGAGCATTAAGCGGTCATAATTGTTACTCATTGTGTTATTCATATCAACCAACAATAGACTATTAATAGATGTATTAAAATGTGATTATGTGATTGTAAGGAATAATCCATCTATTCCTCAGTTATAACAATATGTTAGTTGCAGTATTTCAAACAACTATTACCAGGGTCAAATACTTAAATTTAATATACTTATATTAAATTTGTTTGTAAGGTCAAACTGTTTATTTGAAAGGTTCTTTATCTTTTAAATTGCATCTCATATTATTTTGGTGACAACTCCGGTACTCATTTAAAAAATGGAGTACCGTATCTATCATCCATTTGATTGGTCCACATCACTATATCATTTTTAATTTAGATTTAAATAATTCAACTATAACATTCTCATTGGTCCATGTGGAGAAATGTATGGTATCTTATGGGTATTATAGAATCTACCTTATTATTTTTATGGAGTATTAGATTACATGTATACAAGGCCATAGATGAGAGCGTGCAAGAAATGCTACCGCACAAGGCCTCTCGATTCAGAAGGCCCAAAATTTTAAATATAGTCTACATAATATATAGAATCTTTTTTTTAATTGATTAAAGATTTCTATTTTAGTATTTTGTTTTTAAATACAAACATTATATACTAATATTTATATGTATTTAATGTTTTTAAATACAAACATTATAATTGTTAATTATAAATGTGCAACTTCTTTATTAGTTATTACATAAGGAAGTTTGGACGAATTCGTGGTACACTTTGGACAAAATTGTATGGCTTTGTACGAGTTAGACAAGCTTGGTTTTAAGGAACGGAGGGAGTAGTTTTTTCAGTAACATCCTACTCTATATTTTTTAGTTCATGATTTTTATTCATTTCTTTTCGGTTTTAGTTTTTTTACCGATTTTGATTGTTTAGGTTCCAAATATGATTATATCTCAATGTCATTTGATTGTAGTATTTGTTGGGTTATTTTTTAAAGGTTGTTTTTTATATTATACTCCGTATTTATTTAATATAAAGCCTATTTTACGTTATTTGCACTAGGTCTCTTAATCTATTGAGCCGGCCCTGCATGTATAATACAGAGTAGAAGCATGTTCACAATTACTTCGTATGAGTTATGACCAATTGACCATTGTATTCAATTGTAGCGAAATGGTCCACCGTCAGCCAAACGATCGAGGGTAAACGTTTGTTGGCGGGGACCTATACATCAAATTTTAATATTCTATCCTAAACAATTTTTACTATTCTAATTTCACACTCAACATTAACTTGACAAATTTGAGTGAGACGGAGTTAGTACATTCTGAGAACTAATACATATGATGATGTGAGTTACTGTACTACGCAAATGTAAAAAATGTACATGTGACCAGGGACGGAGTCAGAACTCAGTCATAAGGGGGCCAAGAACAAACACAAACACTAAAGAAAAAAAATCTCTAAATAGGACAAAAAAAATTATAAATAGGATTATTATTGTTTTAATCTCAAAATAGGACTTATTGACTCCTATTTTGGCAAACTTTAATCAAATAATTTTTAATAGAACTAAATAAGATCTACTCAAGGAGTAAAACATATTTTTTCATATTTTTAATGAGGAATGATCCTTTCAGAATTACATGACGGGATCCACCATCCGGATGTCTGTGTTTGATGTGCTTCCAGATAGATTTTTTGGGTGAAATTTTATGACAATATTCTTCATGATGTGTAGATTATTTACACCTAATTTCAGTTTAAAGTTCAATCGACAAATCAGTTAAATAAGTTATTGAAAAAACACTGTACCAAAAAATATAAAAAAAAACTCAGTGTTTTTCCATAATTTATTTAATTGACTCTCCAATTGCATGTAAGCTGAAATACAATGGATATAATATACACTTTATGAAATACATGTTCACAAAAATTCATCAAAAAATTCTACCCGAAAACATCTCACATAAAAGCTTCTATCGAGTAGTTTTGACCCAATTTTTACTGATTATTTCATTTATAATAGTAGTATTACTAAAAAATAAAAAAGTTGGGAGGGGCCATGGCCCCCCTACCCATACACATACATCCGTCCCTGCATGTGACCAATTATCAGCAGAGGTTGTGTTTCATTTCTTAATAAAGTAATTTTCATGGTTTGATTCCGTTATCAATGGAGGGGTCTCGCGCCAAAGCCGTTGGGAATTGCCGGAGAAAGACGAACAAAACACGAATGTTAAAAAATGTCGAGAATATTAAAAGAATCGAAGGTGCGTCTTGTCAAAGATACCTCCAAACCATTTGTCTTTTCTATTTTCAATGACCCTTGTCGCCGTAAAATCCATCGGAAAAGTGATATTGACAAATTAATTTTAAAATTATAATCCCAGAGAAGTTGAAAATTAAGACTAGTATGATCGCTTGGGGCTTCTTTAAGAATGGACAATTTAGGGTTGGGTATTTTATTAATTTTGCTTTGCCATTTTTTCCCTACCTGTACTCTTTTTTGCAGTTTATTAATAAAATTTCTTTCATTTAAAAATAAGATGATGTGAGTTACTCACTTTAACGAGTACTTAATAGTCGTAGTTTGTATGTAGACAATCTCATACATTCATACATACCTTGAATCAGTTACGTAGTACGTAGTATTTTGTTAATTCATTATTAATTTATTCCAATTATTTGGAAGCTCTAAACACTTCAAATACCTGTTAACTCATCGAGCAATTATCAAAGCTCCTTTTTATTGAATTATTCCGTATTTGATACTCATCGAGCAATTATCAAAGCTCCTTTTTATTGAATTATTCCGTATTTGATACTCTTAGTTGAGAAGTTTTAAAGAGTTACATGTGACTCTTGTGGGGAGTCATATAGTTTCCACTAAAAATGTGTGATGATGATGATGCCCAAGTAGCGTATGACTCCATACAAGAGTCATATATATATGGCCCTTTAAACTTCATGATATTTAGTTGGGAAAAGTGTAAAAATGTACATGTGACCAACTATTAGGAGATTGTATTTCGTTTCTTAATAAAGTAGTTTTCATGTTTTGAGTCCGTTATCATTGGAGGGGTCTTGCGTCTAACGCCGTTGGGAATTGTTGGAGAAAAACAATGAACAAAACACGAATGTCCAAAAATGTTGAGAATATTAAAAGAATCGAAGGTGCGCCTCATCAAAGAGACCTCCAAACCATTTTTCTTTTCTATTTTCAATGATCCTTGTCGCTGTAAAATCCATCGGAATAGTGATATTGACAAATTATTTTTAAAATTATAATCCCAGAAAAGTTGAAAAAATCCATTGTTTAATTTGAAGTGCACCTTTCATTATTTTTCTTCTAATTTTTGTAATCGGAATGACTTTTCATCATCTTTATCTAGCAGTTTTTAACTCCGCTGAAAATTGCTATAAATAAACTCTAATTATATTTTATCAATACATGGCTTATTTGGTCTTTAAAAGTATAAAACTTTCAAATAAGAAGCAAGTGAATTCTATTTAACAAAGAACGTAAATATTATTGTCCGTCCAGGCCGAATAGGAGTGTCATCCGGTCACCTCGTTTTGATGTGGTTCTTGATAGTATTTTTGTTGAAATTTTGTGATCATGTTCGCCATGAAATATATATTACGTCCACCAAATTTTAAGGCAGATAAACCATTTTTTTTAAAATAACTACATTTTATATGTATATTTTTGTACAGTTGTCTTCAAAAAATCATTTGACAATCTTCCCAATCGAATATGTAACAGATATTTGATTGAACCCCCTAAAATGAGGTGTCTGGTCAGCACACCTATCTGGCCAATGATGATTAAAACAATGATGATTTATTAAGGTACTTTGTATACTTTTTAATCCTATTTAAGAAATTCTATCTTTTTTATGACCCTTAACCAAAACTTTACGATCATGTAATTGGATTTCAGTTTGTTAGGGTTGGTTTGCAAATGCTTTAAAAAAAGTAGTTCTCAGCTTTTGGCTTAAAAAACACTTATTTTACCAAACATTACCAACTTTTATTTTTCTCAGCTTTCGTGTCAGAAATGGTTTTACTTTTCCTATTACACAAAAAACACTTATTTTACCAAACACTACCAACTTTTAATTTTTAAAATCATTTTTTCTCAAACACTATCAACTTTTATTTAATCACTTCTCCTCATTTCATTAAAATAAACACTTTTTAAAGTAGAAACTGTTGCAAACAGACCCTTAATATCATTATGTATTAGAACAAAACAAAACTTTAATAAAAGCCTAACAAACCACGCCGGTCCAAATGTACAAAGACCGGTCGAGCCGTTTGTCCGGCCCTAGTTACTATGGAGTATGGACACAAAAACAAAAACAAAAACAAAAAAAAAAAAAAAAAAAAAAAAAAAGAGGCTGGATCACCATGAACTTTACACATATATCGAGAAAAAAGTAAAGACCTGTTGTATCATAGCTCTGTCACTACCTGGCATTCCCATTGTCTTTTCCATTACATAAAGAAACCATACAAACAGTCAAACTTAAACAGCTTTTCCTTAAAAAAAATCCCCACAAATACAAAACAAATTTCATAGCACCTTTAGTTTAAAAATGTGAAACAGAATAAAAAATAATAATTTATAAACGAACAAAAATAATTAAAGCTTCTTATTCTGAACTGCATTTCCACTGGGATTGAACTACAAGCCACAATGAATCATCATCACAAAGTATGTATAGTTTTCATTTAGAAGGCTTTGTCTTGGACCTAAAGAGAAGTTTCTTCCTCTTGGATGTTTGGTTATCAAATGTAAGAACCAACTTTCTTGCACACTCCGTCTTGTAGGTGTTGCTGATTATGGTCTCATCGGCCGGTCCAATTTTTCGGGGCTTTTCTACAATAACCGTGTATGCCCCTTCAGCATCCGGAACAAACTCGGAGCCATACGACACATCCCAACCTATCACCCTTGCCTCCCAAACCAATGTGCATTTCTGAAAACAAACAAAATTGTGTTAAAACTTCAACTCTTACTGTAAAAATCCTCACCTAACCCTGATGGTTGATCATTGATGGATCGGTTCCCATATGGACCGGCATTGGATTATCGGTAGGCGCCATAGTTTTATGTCTTTGTGAAATGGTAATTGTACAAATTTTGAATTTTGTATGATTTTTGAGTCATGTTGAACGCGAAGTGATTACTCATTTGAGCTTAATAGGTCATTGCAAGTTATTAAGTCTCAGAATTCTATGAAGTGTTAGCTAAGAAGTCCAACTCCACAAAGCTCACATTTCATCATTCTAGAAGTTCAAACAGGGACGGAGCCAGACTGTAATATCAGACTGTAATATTATAAAAACAATAAAGCATAAAAATATTAATACATAAGTAATTTTTATATTTTAACTCTTAAAAATACGACCCCTTTATAGTTTTGTGGGAATTACTTAGAACATCGACATCAATTAAATTTCGCGTGTTCATTTTACTCTATCATTCAATAATATTGAATTCATGTTTAGTATTTATACATCAACTAAATCAACACAAAGAAATATACTCCCCCCGTCCCTAATAACATTGCCATGTTTGACCGGCACGAGGAATAATAAAGTAAAATTTGTGTGGTTGAGGTTTGTGCAGAGGAGAGAGAATGGACAGGAACCACAAATTCTTTACTTAATAGGACATGCAAAAACGGAAAGTTGACAAAGTTATAAGGGACGGATGGAGTATATATACTAAGTATTACTTCGTATAAAATAACCATTTAACTGCTAACACTATTCAAATTTGTTAGAAAAAAACAGTTCTTATTTTATTGAATTTTTTTTCAATCAAACTTTAAAAAAAAGTTAGATAAAGAGAGTAGATGTTAAGAATATGTGGTGTCATTTCTTATATATTGATCTTACTTTTAAAAACTATGGTGTCATTCTTTAAATTTTCAATACATATATACAATTAAAAAAAATTGAGTGGTGTCAATTGACACCACAACTCCATGCTTGGAGCCGTCCCTGAGTTCAAAAGCATGCGGTAAATACGAACATTTCAAATTCCCGTTTCTCGTATTTTGAAAAAATCAACTACACATTGCTTTAATCAAAAGATTATTGTTCCAAACTTTTAATACAATTTCCTGATGGAAATTATAATCCTTTTTATCGGTTCGTCCTTTCTCTCACGTTTCGTGTCCTATGATATTTTTTAATTACCGCTTCCCGCGTTTCACTTAACTCGGGTGCTATTGTTATATGCAAACTGAGTAACCAACACCGTAGCTTACCTCGGTAACAGGGAATTCAACAGTGTGTTTGCAAGTTGGTTTGATGTACTCCTCAGTTGCAGGATCCCTTGTAGTGAAGTCATAGTCGCCCTCTCTGCTAAGGCCACCATACTGAACAGGCACTTGCTCTGGGGCTATGTATCTGAATTTATTTATTTTCCAGCCATTCCAAGACACAAACACATAGATCAGAAGAAGGGCATTTATTTATGAAAACAATACGGAGTATATAGAATCCTAATGAAAATACAAAGGTGGCACCAACTTGAAGAGTGTCTCTGCAGATTTGGAAGGACCTACGAAGACAAACTTGCTCTGGGTCCTTGTGGTGAAAAGAGCATTGATCATCTTATAGTAAGCAGGGTACCACCATGGCACATTTATGAACACCTTTGTACATATAATAAATCAACTCCAATTAATGTTGGTCCTCAAAATTCGTTGGCAAGACAACAAAACTCCATTTGGAGACATAAATAAAAAGATCCCATCATTCCACTCCAGCAAATCAGTACAAATATTTTTATATAAATAATCAATTTTCCAGCAAAAGCACTCAAGCAATGATCTGTACTTGACCAAAGTTATTGTGATGGAAATGTTTATGAATGAGCAAGTAGACTTATTCTACCTCAGTCCCAAAAACCTTTGCCATTTCCAAAAATTTGAACCTTAATTTTGATTAGTATAATATTATGTAAGTTATAAATTTTATACTTTTATGAAAGTACTTTTAACAAAGAACATTTTCATATAACTTTTATATTTTAAATCATTTTCAATAAAAGATATAGGCGGTCAAAGTTTTGAAAATGTCAGTTTTTTGGGACGGAGGTAGTATTTAGAGGACACCATTACTTTTGGACTGAATTGGCTGAAATGACGACTAAAACTAAAACTGTTTTTGTTATTTCCATTCAATTTTTTCTTTACTTGTTACATAGTCCATATGTCACCTTGTTTATTTAAAGTTTTCACAATTCTACCGATTCACCAAACTTTCGTCCGATTGTTAACATAAAATCTAATTTACATCGTCCCAGATTCTCATCTTGCTAGTGTTGAGACCATCAACAATGAAGTGTCATCTTCATCTTTTTTTATAAAATAAAATCCAATCATTTTTATTTGTGTGCTTTTTGGAGCATAGTCGGACATAGTGCTCGGATGAAGTTAAAATTTGAGGTAATATTCGAAAAAGGTCAATTCCATATCCGGCCATCTGATCATCAAACAGATTATGGGAAGGTCAACCACATGAGATCTGTCAATTGCTTGACAGTGAGTTTGTGTCTTTTTTATTAGGAAAAAAGTGGTTGTATTTTGCCTAATTATCTGTGTGACTATGTATATAACTAATTCATAAAAAAAGTTACATTTTTTTAGAAAATGTATAGAATTATCTATGTGGCGCATAATAAAATTCTTAATATCTTCCACCAAGATTAACAAGGAATCAAATTTAAGTGATAGCTTGGGAGGTTGACGAACTATTTTTAACACGAATGAAGATTAAAAAAATACTTTTCTAATTTCTCACTTTTTATACTCCAATCTCATACTACGGGTTGCTTTTCCGTCCTACTACTCATTTCTGTCGGGCCTATATTTGATATCGTTTTGTTTTTATGCTCGTTTCCTATTATTCATATCATCAGCAAAATTACTATTCATTCTTTAATTTTAGTCATGATTTTTTTATGAAACTCAACTTTAATTTTATCCCCCTTACTTCTCAGCTGTTACTTATTGAGAAGTTTTTCATTATCTTTCCACTTTCTGTAAATTTTTCATACGGAGTAGGAAGTATTTAGAAACTTTAGCCTACTTTTTCTCATTCTCTTTTTGACTAAGGTAACTAATAAGGAATGGATATAGTATTGAAAGTAAATTAACATTATTATCACATTTAGCTTTTGTGGCTATTATATCAATATTATATTTATGATAATCATTTATCTCAACTTCAAATGTTAATGAAACAAAAAAAACAATATAGGGGACTTGACATTAGACCTTAAAAAGCAAGGGGACATGCATACCTGTTTTGCGACAAATTCAGGGTAATTGTCTTGGAGAAGGTGGAGGGCCCGGTTGGTGGCCTGCCGGAGTTCTTTTTTGAAGAAGACAAGTCCAGGGGAGTTCTTCAGATCAATCACCTGCATAAAAGTGTTAATCCCCTCCGGACTGAAATCCAGATTCCTTATAGATTTCTCCATGAACTGAATCCTCCATCTCAGGAACTTGTTCAGATTCTCCTTGTCTGCAAAGGTGGTTTGGTACAACTCCTTGTCCTGAAACTCTGCCAAGGCGTTGTAGCAGACGGCGTGGCCTTCTCTGTCCACTCCATGCATGTACACCACCTTCTCTAAGCCCTTACCCAACTCTTCTTCTTTCAAAAGTTGATCCGGTTTGAAGTCGCTTCGCCATGCTATAACGCTTTTTAACATGGCGAAGGCGTCTTTTACTCGGAAATCCCGAGCCCGGAGAAACTTGAGGAGGATCACGTCGCTCCGCTCGTCCTCCAGAAGGGGAATCCCCCATATGGAGACCTCTTCTGGTGGGGACAACGGAGGGACTTGAGTTTCCTTTTCCGGCTCTTCCAGGAATGAGGGATTGTCTTGTCGTCCCTTCTCCAGTGCGGCCTCCTCGGTCACGGTCTCCTTGACTACCTCGACCGGTGTTTCCGACTCCTCGGATTGCGGCGGAGGCGGGGGCAGAGTTTCTTTTAGCTCTTCCGTTTTCCCTTCCTCAACCTTAAGCAACACATCTCTTCTCTCTTCCGGTTCTGACTCTTTCTTCTCCTCAGATATCGGCTCGTCTTCCGCGGCGGGAGCCACCGCGGCGGGAGCCACCGCGGCGGAAGTGGGCTCAGCTCCGGGTTTCGTCTCCTCCTTAGCCGGAGGAGGGACGGGCTTCGGAGTGAACTCATGATTGTTCAGAGCCTCCCGAACCATCTGCTTGAACTCATCCAACGCCTTCTTCTCCGGGCTGGGAAGCTCCTCCACCTTGTTGCTCTCCTCCTTGAAGGAAGCCCACTCGGCCACCGTCTTCTTCACGGCGGTCGGAATCTCTTTGGGTTCGGATTTCTCCGTCACCGTCGCATCGGAAACTGGGGGCGGGGAACCCATAGTTTTTTCTTCCGCCATACCAACTTTCAAGCACCTAGAAAAGGAAACACTTTGAAATCAAGGAAATGAAAATGCGGAAAGATTATGGTGGCCAGGGAGGAGGGGGAGAGACAGGGTTTTAGAGGCGTGGAATGGTGGGGCCGTGGAAACAGACTGTATAGAGAGCTGCCAGCTCGCGATGTGCTTTGGAAGTGGGATCCACGACCACCTCAATCCGCTAATTTAGGCTGTGTTTCGTAATTTCGCTGTACATTATCATTGTCACCCCCAATTTTTTCTGTATTATTGTTACGAGAAAACATAAAAAAAATGGGGTATTTTTTAATATCCCGTTAATTATGGGCTAAGGCTAGCCTGTAGGAGAAGTTTGTTTAAAAAATAGATCATTTTCCATTAATTTTACAATTAAATTTAAAGGATAGAAAATTATTTTAAAAGACGGAGTACATTATAATGACTCTTGTTCAGTTACTCGTAAAAAGTGACTAGTCATATTTTAATCAAAAAACATAATTAGTCATTTATTTGTCCGAGGAAACCCAGTTAGTAATATACATGTCATTTTTTCTAGAATATAATCTCGTCCTAAAACTCTAAAAAGACTTAGAGCCCGTTAACAACTTTGTTTTTCGGTTTATTAACCAACATTTTCACTAAATATGTAATTTTTGATTTCGTGCGTTGAATTGTGTAATAATAAGAAAAGGTAAGGTTGCATATACCTTTTTGGCTATATTGGCTCAAGTTCTTGTATACGATCATTTTTGCTAGTTTTCGTATAATTTTTTAATATTTTATAAGTAAAATATATTTTATATATTATTTTTCGTAAATCAGCAAAATTAGCCCATCAGACACTTCAACCAAAATTTAATAAATTTGAGCAAAATCAGCCAATACAGTCGATTCAGGTATTATCAAACGAGATCCTAAATTACAATTCTTTTAAAATAAAAGAACCGTTACCGTTTTTAAAATGTATAACACGTGTCTCGTTCTTTCTCACTCCATATTTCAGTACAAATTTTAAGGGTTATTCTTTTTTTTAAGGGTTATTCAATATTACTATTTGTGTCCCAAAATTAAAGTTATCTTATACTACGTACTATTCTAAATTGATTAATGCAGCTCATTTTTATTGTTAATGTTATATATCAAAATATTACTCCCTCCGTCCCAATTTGTTTTGCAAAGTCAACATTTTTTGGTCAATTAATAATAAAAGTCAACCCTCCTTATCGATAATTAATTCAATTTTTAATAATTAAAATTTACATATTCAAAAACTACATTAAAATCTCTTCAAAGTTGTAAACTCCAAATTAGAAAATAATTACAAATTGACATCCTAATTAATTGAACAAAACGAAACTGTTTGACAATTAAAAGTCAAATTTGCAACTCTTTTTGGGGCGGATGTAGTATTATATTTTAACTCAAGTTTTGTGATCTCATGGAATTTTAAATGTGGGGGCATTGAATAGAAGACTTGGAGGAGTATGAATCAAGTGAGCCAAAATTCAATTCCAACGTCGGCAGAAGAGGAGGATCATCTCTATCGGTCTACAAAAAAAATTAAACATGCTGGTGAGTTGGAAAGAGGTCGTTTGCAGAAGCTTTTTCAGCTCATTTAGGGGGTCATGAGGAATTGAACACGGATTGGTGTATGGAAGTGGAGGAAGATGTATTTGACGATGAAGATTTCCAACCGGAGGAGAAGGATGTTCCTAGAGTAATCATTCCCAGGGAGAGAAAACGAGAACTCCAAGTATGGGTGCCATATATATGTTTGGGTGGGGAAGAGAAAGCAAACCATCGAGTACGAAGGGTTACATACTATTTGCTTTTGTTGTGGTGAGTATGGACATCAGAGAGAAGTATGCCCACATCAGTTACATCATACGGTGGTGCTTGTAAAAACACCCAGAAACAGCAGCTTGTAATCAATATTGGTAAAAATGCAGAGGATCAAACCTTAAAAGAAGCACCGGGTTGGGATACGAATAGCATACCGACAAGGGAGTCCGGGGAAGGGCAAGACCAGGTTATGGACTTTGCCATGAATACCGATACAACGAAATGCGGAGGTTGCACTACCGCCATCCCTAATCAGTCTAAATGAAAGTTTTGTCTTGGAATTGTCGTGATATTGGAAATAGGAGGGCAATAAGACGTGTAAAGGAGATCATAAATACATATAAGCAAGATATTTTAGGCCTCCTTGAAACAAAAATTGAGGATCCGAATAAAATGGTTACTATGGCCAGAAGTATGGGTATGACTAATTGGGAGTATATTCATCCAATAGGTTTAGCTGGGGAATTCTTGTACTCTGGGATCCTAAAAAAATTACTCTCTCAGTAATGGAGAGCTCATCTCAAGCTATTCATTGTAATGTGAAAGAGAATGACTATTGTGTTATCTGCTCACTAGTTTATGTTCGACCAAATGGTGCAGCAAAGGAGATATCTTGGGCTGAGCTACAAGATTTCCATTTGATGCATGCTGCCATGCTGGACCTTGGGTTGTCTTGTGTGATTTCAATGACACTATTTTGGCAGGAGAACAATGTGGTGGCAATATTTTATTGAACGCTATGGACAAATTTTGGGAGCGTCTGGGATATTGTGATCTTTTTGATGTGGCTACTGAAGGGGCTTCGTTTACTTGGATTAAAAGGGAAGGGACGCGTGTGGTTTTACGAAAGAAACTGAACAAAGTGTTGTGGAATATGGATGCAAATACATTATTTCCGGAAGGGAAAGCTTGCAACCTCCCCAGGCTTCATTGGTTAATGCATGATGCTTTTGATCAGGTGATTAATACAGTTTGGAGAGCAAATTTTGAGTGTATTAAAGATGCACGTAACCAGGTCATGATTGCCAGTAAGCAATGGAGCAAGGATGTTTTTGGTGACATCTTTCGCCAGAAGCGTCACCTGCGGGCCAGGATTCAGGGGATCCAAAAATCACGCAACTACTCAAACTCCCACTCTGAAAAACTCCTAGAGTGTCTGTTAGAAGTAGAATACAACACCATTTTAGATAAAGAGGAAATGCTTTAGTTTGAGAAGGCCCGGGTGGAGTGGATTAAAGGAGGGAATCACAATACTAGTTATTTTCATAAGTCTACAATGATTAAAAGAAAGGGAGAAATGGCTATATAGCTTAAACAAATAGGTTACTTTTAGTTAATAACCTATATTATTTTTATTAAAGAATATAGCACTTTAGCAATTAATATAAAAATACGGTTGAGTCAAATACAAGACTCGATCGTATTTGATAATTAAAACTGTATTTAGATAAGATCAAATCCATGGATTTCGGTGTTGATATCCCATATTCATATAACTCATAAGTTTATAGGATAATTTAAAGGGCTATGCACTTAATTTTTGTAAATATATAACATAAACTTAAATGTATGTATTAAAAAATGTATATACACCTAATTATCTCTAAAAGAAATAAGAATGTGATTGGGCGTCTTAAAATCGGTGGCATGTGGACTACCAACCAAGAGGATATGGCTATTCACATTCGGGAATACTTCTATTGCTTGTTCGGTGAGCATATCGGTAGTGAGAATCAACATATAACTGGTTTGGCCTGTCCCATAATTTCGAATGAGCTAAGGGATGGCTTGATGAAAGAGGCTGATCTTGAGGAAGTGAAAAACACAGTTTTTAGCCTGAAGAGTTTTAGTATCCCGGGACCAGCTGGTTTGCAAGCAGTAGTGTATAAGGAATTTTGGTACACGGTTGGTACTACCGTTATTCAATTCGTTAATAATCCTCTTCGCACATGCCACATTCCTTCTAGAATCCTGAAAGCTAATATGGTGTTGATACCAAAAGAGGAAGTATCGTAGGAAGCTGGTAGTTATAGACCCATCACATTACTCAATGTAATCTATAAGGTCGTCTCTAATCTTCTAGTTAATCAAATGAGAAAATTGATTGGGCAGATAATAGGTCTGTTTTAGAGCAGTTTTGTACTGGGTAGAAGCACGGAGGATAATATTATTCTCAGATCACCCACAAAGTAGTGCACTCGTTGGAGGCAAAGAAGGGAAGGAAAGAAGGTTTGATTATGAAGTTGGATTTACAGAAGCCAGAAGGCGTATGATTGTTTGAGCTGGGATTTTCTTGAGAACACTTTGACAGATTTTGGTTTTCCTTTGGAGTTTAATAGGCTGGTCATGAATGCAATTATAGGAATGAAGATTAGTATTATTTGGAATGGCGATATTCTAGAAGAAATTCAGCCAAGGAGAGGTCTTAGACAAGGGGACCCTTTGTCTCCATATCTATTCATTTTAGCAATGGAAAGGCTTTTACACTTCATTACGAAGGAAGTCAATGCTAACAGGTGGAAACCAGTAAATGTGGGTAATCCGGATGTGAATATATCCCACCTCTTTTTTTTTTTTGCAGATGATCTGATGTTATTTGGTCTGGGAGGCTACTAATAGTCAAATAGAAAATATGACAAATATTATGCAGATTTTTTCATCCAATTCGGGTCTCAAAATAAACAAGGAGAATATAGGGTATATTTTTCTCCTAATCTAGATGGGAGCCTGCAGAATAGTCTCCAGAACCTTGCTGGTATTCAGTCCACAACTGATCTTGAGAAATACTTGGGGCCCCTATTATTCACCGACGCAAATCAAAGGAGAAGTTTGCATTTATTTTGGATCGCGTAAGGCAGAGTCTAGCTTTCTGGAAGGAGAAGGTTTTAAACTTGGCTGGTCGAAAAACTTTGATTCAATCCGTTACACAAGCTATTCCGCAACACGTAATGCAAAGCTCCTTACTTCCTCGGAGCATATGTGATAATATTGATCAAATCAATAGAAACTTTCTTTGGGGTAGTAAAGGAGGTACTCAAAAAACTCATCTTGTAAAAGGGGAGGAGGTTTTTAAACTTAAGAAAATGGGTGGTTTGGGTCTTCGACAAGCTCGACATAATAATTTGGCTTTAATAGTCAAGTTAGGTTAGGATATTATAATGGATTCTCAGAAATTGTGGGTCAAGGTCATTAAGGCGAAATATCTGAGAAAATCATCTTTTTGGGAAGTACCTAGGAAAAACGGAACTTCTCA